CATCTTGTCTTTAATGTCTGAAAAAATCTAGGTGAAATTCACTAGAATTTATTTAATATACATTAAATATTGTGATATGTTTTGATAAACCGAACGTTACGTTACATCCTCCGCTCAGTGAACGCACTGCCGTCTGGGCTCCGAGCGCGGACCATTGACACGCGGACTCACGTCTCTCTCTCTCTGCTCGCGTCTCTCTCTCTCTCTGCTCGCGTCTCTCTCTCTCTGCTCGCGTCTCTCTCTCTGCTCGCGTCTCTCTCTCTCTCTGCTCGCGTCTCTCTCTCTCTGCTCGCGTCTCTCTCTCTGCTCGCGTCCCTCTCTCTCTCTGCTCACGTCTCTCTCTCTGCTCGTGTCTCTCTCTCTCTGCTCACGTCTCTCTCTCTCTGCTCACGTCTCTCTCTCTGCTCGTGTCCCTCTCTCTCTGCTCACGTCTCTCTCTCTCTGCTCGCATCTCTCTCTCTCTGCTCACTGCTCACTCTCTCTCTCTCTCTCTCTGCTCACGTCTCTCTCTCTCTGCTCACGTCTCTCTCTGCTCGCGTCTCTCTCTCTGCTCACCTCTCTCTCTCTCTCTCTCTGCTCGCGTCTCTCTCTCTCTGCTCACGTCTCTCTCTCTCTCTGCTCGCGTCTCTCTCTCTCTGCTCTCTCTCTCTGCTCGCGTCTCTCTCTCTCTGCTCACGTCTCTCTCTGCTCACCTCTCTCTCTCTCTCTCTGCTCACGTCTCTCTCTCTCTGCTCACGTCTCTCTCTGCTCGCGTCTCTCTCTGCTCACCTCTCTCTCTCTCTCTCTGCTCGCGTCTCTCTCTCTCTGCTCACGTCTCTCTCTCTCTGCTCACGTCTCTCTCTGCTCACGTCTCTCTCTCTCTGCTCACGTCTCTCTCTGCTCGCGTCTCTCTCTCTCTGCTCACGTCTCTCTCTGCTCTCTCTCTCTGCTCACGTCTCTCTCTGCTCTCTCTCTCTGCTCACGTCTCTCTCTCTCTGCTCACGTCTCTCGCACCTGTTCTTCTTAACACTAGAAAACCCAACCGAAATTGGCCCCTGTTTTGAGAACAGGGAGCTAACTTGCTAGGTTGGCTGCTAACATTTGCATGTATTGATTTGCAAATGTAGGTAATGACTTATAACAGCAGGGGGCTGGGGTGGGCTTTGTTTATTCGTGTGGGGGGGGAGAGCTGCAAAGCAGAAGAGATGCCATGGCAGTGCTGTGTACCCTGAGAATGCGCTGTATATATGTTGTAATCAGTTTTTCTCAGTGTCTTTGGTGCATTTTTCACATAATTCTTCACATTTTAACAACAGTTAGTGCATTTCTCAGAACAATGAGTGCAAACTGCAAAACCTCATGGATAACCTGCTAAAAAGTCACTTTCTCAAAATGAAACTTAATTCCTCAAAAGAAAGTCTTCATGTCAATGAAACGGTCTGTGTCTGTGTCCTGACATCAGTGTTTATGAACAACAGTCAAATGATTTAGTCATGTTTTCATTGTGATTGTATTTAGTGATACATATGTATGTACTGTATGTTCACATATTTACTGCTTATGCTCTTTGCAATTCTACAGCATTCTGCAACAAAAATAGTACACATACAGTATTTACGTAGAAAAACATACAAAAAATCATTACGGTAGAACCTCCACAACATTGAGTCGTGTGTGACATCATCGCGGCAGTTTCTCCTTTGAACACTTTACAAATGCTTTTGGACATGTATCAGTTACTTTCATACAGTTCTCTGCTGTTTTATAACATTAACATTTGCTTCTGTCCTGTCAATCAGAATGAAACATACTTTTCACGACTGAATAGTTTCTGTAAAACCAGTAGTCCTCATTTCATCGCTTTGGTCATCACATACAAAACTGTAAGGTGAACAATTTTGAGTTGTCGTTTTTACAGTTCACCGAGCTCTCTCTCTCTCTCTCTGCTCACGCCTCTCTCTCTCTGCTCGCGTCTCTCTCTTTCTGCTCACGTCTCTCTCTCTCTGCTCGCGTCTCTCTCTGCTCACGTCTCTCTCTTTCTGCTCACGTCTCTCTCTCTCTGCTCACGTCTCTCTCTGCTCACGTCTCTCTCTGCTCACCTCTCTCTCTCTCTCTCTCTGCTCACCTCTCTCTCTCTCTCTGCTCACGCCTCTCTCTCTCTGCTCGCGTCTCTCTCTTTCAGCTCACGTCTCTCTCTCTCTGCTCGCGTCTCTCTCTGCTCACGTCTCTCTCTGCTCACGTCTCTCTCTCTCTGCTCACGTCTCTCTCTCTCTGCTCACGTCTCTCTCTGCTCGCGTCTCTCTCTCTCTGCTCTCTCTCTCTGCTCGCGTCTCTCTCTCTCTGCTCGCGTCTCTCTCTCTCTCTGCTCGCGTCTCTCTCTCTCTGCTCGCGTCTCTCTCTCTCTGCTCACGTCTCTCTCTGCTCGCGTCTCTCTCTCTCTGCTCACCTCTCTCTCTCTCTCTCTGCTCGCGTCTCTCTCTCTCTGCTCACGTCTCTCTCTCTCTCTGCTCGCGTCTCTCTCTCTCTGCTCTCTCTCTCTGCTCGTGTCTCTCTCTGCTCACGTCTCTCTCTGCTCACCTCTCTCTCTCTCTCTCTGCTCACGTCTCTCTCTCTCTCTGCTCGCGTCTCTCTCTCTCTGCTCTCTCTCTCTGCTCGTGTCTCTCTCTGCTCACGTCTCTCTCTGCTCACCTCTCTCTCTCTCTCTCTGCTCACGCCTCTCTCTCTCTGCTCGCGTCTCTCTCTTTCTGCTCACGTCTCTCTCTCTCTGCTCGTGTCTCTCTCTGCTCACGTCTCTCTCTTTCTGCTCACGTCTCTCTCTCTCTGCTCACGTCTCTCTCTGCTCACGTCTCTCTCTGCTCACCTCTCTCTCTCTGCTCACCTCTCTCTCTCTCTCTCTGCTCACGCCTCTCTCTCTCTGCTCGCGTCTCTCTCTCTCTCTGCTCGCGTCTCTCTCTGCTCACGTCTCTCTCTGCTCACGTCTCTCTCTCTCTGCTCACGTCTCTCTCTCTCTCTGCTCACGTCTCTCTCTGCTCGCGTCTCTTTCTCTCTGCTCTCTCTCTCTGCTCGCGTCTCTCTCTCTCTGCTCGCGTCTCTCTCTCTCTGCTCACGTCTCTCTCTGATCACCTCTCTCTCTCTCTGCTCACGTCTCTCTCTCTCTGCTCACGTCTCTCTCTGCTCGCGTCTCTCTCTCTCTGCTCACCTCTCTCTCTCTCTCTCTGCTCGCGACAGTAATCTGAACTTAAAAAAGTAAGTTTTTACAGACTTGAAATTTCCAGTAACTTGAATTTAAACACTTAGTTGGCAGAACTTGGAAAACTTAACTGACACAACTTAATAAGTGTAGTTCTTCAAAACTTGAAGAATTAAGTTAATGCCTTCAACTCAAAAATCCTTCGCAGCTGGTTGCTTTGAAATTTTGAGTTGAACTAACTTTATCTTTTTTACAGTGTGCATGGACCAGAAGTCCAATTAAAATAATGGACAATTGCTCCTGCAGCCCTGAACAGGACATGCGAGGTGCGCGGGTCGGCCCGAAACCCGCAGTCAACCCGCGGGTCCCGCGGTTTCGGGCGGGTTGGATCCCTCAAAAATATGAGTCATGTCAGGTGCGGGTGGGTCGGGTCAGAAAGCTCCTGATCCCTATATAATATTATATATGTGAGCCACGGTATGGGAGTCCCTTGAGTACATTTGCAATCGCGCAGGGAGGCTGTTAAACAAAAAAATCATGCTGACAAACAGGATCGCTCCTTCCTGACTCCCCGCTTAAAGCCTCAGAACACTCCAGCCCGAGGACAGACGTGTGATCTACACAGAGGCACCGAGACTGATGACTGTGGGCCTCACAGCAGAGGCCTAAAGCAGGGGCCTCATTACTTTAATACTTACAGTCTGTGGTAAATACACGGGCTACATGTGGTACACGTGCTTAGACTATATTAATATTGTATGTGTAACATTCAAAATAGATTGAGTGAATATTCCCTTTTCCTCATTTAGTGATTTGCGGAGGAGAGGAGAGGAGCAGCGAGAGAAGTTTGGCAGTTGAAATAAATGAATTTCAGCTTGCTAAATTATTTGAAAGCATCTTCATTATGATTGTTATATTTATGTATTTATTATAAATGTTAGAGATGCCAGAGAAAAGGCGTCTGCTTTTTTTCTGAGTGGGAGGCATTTTAAGCGTCCCGCACATCCGCACTGCTCATTTACTCAGCGCTCTTTACTATTAGATCCAGTGTTTTCTCCAGCGCCTGTGTGGTGTAGCGGGATTGTACAAGACTTTCCCGTGGACGTTCGGGGTTCAAGCCCCGGCCAATCCTCAATTTTTTATTAGCGGGGGGAGTATATGAATCAGATTACTCCGTTACTGAATAAAGTTGCATTTTTTTCCTGCAGTTTGGTTGGTGCAGATTATGAAGTTTACTACCGTCTAGCAACTATTTTAAATGTGTTGGCCTAATTACTAAGTATGTTTTAGAAAACATGTAAACGTCAACAAAATCAAAAGTGTCATAGCCTGGACTTGAACCCGGGTCCTCTCACACCAGAGTCCATCTCCTTATCATTGAGCTATAAAGCCACAGAAAGTTGTCCCGTGAACAGAGAACAAAGACCAATGAGAAGCCAATTTTCCTAACCCTGCTCACAAGTGCCACCTGGTGGTTGTTTGGGTCATTGCAGCATCACTGGGGAAAAAATAAATAAAAGACGCGTGAATCACACGTGAGTCTCGTGTGATTCACGCGTGAAACGCGACAAAACGAAATGGGACCTACTGTAGGAGTGGTGGTAAAAAGGAGTCAGGTTGTAGCCGCTCGGTTTGTAGCCTAGCGCCAGCTGCCACCGCACACAGTGAGAGTGGAAGAGGGGGCGGAGCAGGAAGTTACCTGGGCAACCGGGACGTTTATCTTCCTGACATTGTGATTTGGGCCAATCAGCGGAAAGGGCTAATAAAATAATAATAATAAATGATTGGGGAATTACACCATGGGTGTTACAAGTACAGTAGTAGTTATGTGATGTTTGTCCTCTGCAGGCTGGTACATTCGGGCTCCCATCGCGGCTCCCCGGCACACGGCTCAGAGCTTCTGTTCTCAACGCGTAGCGGCACAGGGCGCGGCGTGGAGGCGCACGTCTTCAGGGTGGAGACGCACTGGGACCTGTCGTCATGGACACGCGCTCTGGTGCAGGGCGTGCACACAGCAGCAGAGCTCATCACGGAGGTGTCCATCGGTAAGACCACTGTCCTAATTAGGGATGTAAATCGGTGACCGTTTAACCGGTGGTTGACCGTCACAGTGTTAACCGGTCAAAGCTGTCGGTTAAAAAAAGAAAGGGGGGGAGAGGGGAGGTCTCTTAAAAACGCTATTTTAAGCCCTATTTGCACGATGTGACGAGCGGGTCCGAATCTAGCTGTGTGCGCTAATGTATTAGTAAACTCCGGGCCGACTTTCATGCCGCACGGGCCACATAGCACGTACGCACACACGCGCGCACACACACATTTCCCGCCCCCTTCATTGATACGTAACATCCACATCATCTCTCCCCTCTGTTACTAGTCCGCCAAAGTTGCACACTGCAACTTTGGTGAACAAGTAACCCCCCCTATTAAAGGGGGGGTTCCTTCAACTGTCTTATGCCTGGACAATTTGTCCCCCAAGCCCGACGCCGCGTGCCCAGAGGTGCAGGTCAGAACTATATTGGAGGTAAACTCATACATACATGTACACACATATTCATACACACACATACATAGATGTACACACAAACCAGTCTGTCGCGCTCCTCTGTGTCACGGAGCCAAAGGATCCTCGCAAATACGCGGTTCCAGTCAAACCACATGGAACATGTTTGTGTTTATGGTCCTTTGCATCAGCTCCACAGACATCACTTGTATTTAAACTTTAGCGGAGAGCTGCGAGACGCGGCTTGTCACTCGCTGCTCTGACCATGTGAACAAGCTGTCTTTTGCTTAAAAATGCTTTAAGCAAAAGACAGAAGAATGGGAAGATTAAAAAAATCTGTTCTCTGTGCGCAGAGGTGCCGAAGCTGTTGCGGGTTTTGGCGCCGCTGTCTCAGCTCTGATCCAGTAGAACGCATAGCTGCACTTATGGAAAGTACGCGGCTCGAAATGGCTGTTATTTCAAAGAAATATATTTTAAACACGGCGTTAACCGGTTTCAACCAGTTAATGAGGCTCGGTGGTTGGTCATGAAAATTCATAGTTTTTTACATTCCTAGTCCTAATCCTATCCTAGGGTAGCGTTATGGTCCTCTTTCTCCAGTCATTGTGATTTATTTTTATCTTCTTGTAAAGACCTGCCCTCTCCACTTAAAATAAAGCCTTCCCTGCTCCCAAAAGAGAACGGCCCCACAAACGCATGCAAGAGAACTGCACGCGCAAGTTCTCCTTGTGCATGCTCTGTTTACAAGTGTCGTCGTCTCTCACACAAGCTTAATTTTAGCGCACAGTAAAGCCTAGTGTATACTTGCGCGGTGCTGGTTACGGTTGCGGTTACGTTGGACCTACGCAGCCACAGTGGCTCGTCCACTCCCTTACGTAGTTTTGAAGAAAATGTTGTAATCCCACACCCAATCAAATGACGGCGAACTCACAGCCGTTGCCTGGGAAACAAAAGCGGTCCCATTTACGCTGCTACTTTCTCCTCTTCAGAACAAAAACATAAGCAAACCAAGCTGTTTGAGATCATTACATGTGTAGCTAGTGTAGGTTTATGTGATAGTTCTATGAACTCATTATTTCAAATGTGATGCTGTGAATAAAGACTTAGTTCTTGTTGGAAACATAGTTATTACATTTTATTCAGCACCAGCAGAAAAACAATACGTGGTAAATATCTAAGACCAAACATGAACTATTTACAAGAGTAGGAAGAATGCAAAAGACGCAATAAGCTACGGGTGCAGATTCAAACAAAGACAGGAACAGTGCAAAAGACAGTCAGTATTTTTCATGCAAAAAGTGTATTATTTTGGTGTTCTTTGGTGTAACACTGAAAAATTGAAATTTTAGGGGGCGCTATTTTACAACATAAATGCCACCATTTGCACATACAAAGTCCGATTTGCACAAAATTTGAATTGATTGTTCAACTCTCGGGTTGGAGTGAACTGAAAGTGTAAAAGACAAAATGGCAGCAATAGCGCCCCCTACAGACTGATTCAAGTGTTACATGGGGAGAATGAGGGTTACCTTTTGAATAGACACACACAATCACTGATCATAAGCATTCAAAATACAGTGTCGCTCCCGTCAGGGCTTTAGGAAGATAGCGCGCCTCGTTTGCGCGGTGCGGTGAAGGCCGTTTGATGCCGCTTGCGGCTTTAATTAGGCCGAGCCAATATGTAGTATTGGGGAGGCCTATTGTTATTTACTGGTTTCATATTATTATTTGGATTTTTCCGCCGAAACAATTCAATTTTTGACCCTGAAGACATGCACGAAAGTCTGCACATGGGGGGTCTAAAACGACTGGTTCGGCGAAACATTTGATAAAACGGACGTTTCGCGATTGTCCGACAAAAGGCAAATCAATAGCGCCTCCTTGAAAATTCCAAATTTGCCATTTCTATTGGAGGCAGGAATGCATATTTTGGAGTAGGTACACGAAATTCGGTTGAGTGATAGATCTCTATGAGACGAGCAAAAAAGCCGGTCTAAGCACATGTCTGGGACCAACAGGAAGTCTGCCATGATGGGCTGAAGTTTCTCCACCAATTTGACTTTTCATTTTTAACTTCGAACTAGTCCCTGGTTTTTCATCACACAGAGTTCTACCATGTCATTTCCCAATCTGGACGGATTGAAGTTATGCAATCATTAATAAAAAGTTGGAAAATCATCACCGTTTTCGTATCTCGCAATGGCGAATAAGGCCTTCGTTTTGGCCATTTTCGCTGAGCCCTGAGGGCCACAGGCTCAGACCTACAGAGCTGAGACTCACATCAGTAGTATTAGGTTATGGCCTGAACGCAATGACACTAAAATCATTCGTCCAATATGAGCTCTTTAGCTCCACCTGTCGTAAAGTAATAGGGCACTAGTGCTTGGATCGGCCCCAAAATCGCTGAGTGTAATCTCTGGACCGAGATGAGAAAAAAATTACATCATGCAAAAGTCCCACACCTGACCATTGGGGTGCTGCAAAGTGGATGATTTTCTGGGCAAAATAGTTGTCAAATCAGGCTAGAAATAAAATAAAAAATACAGCGTATGACTTTGAACACAACGATATGAAACACACAACTGTGAGTGCAACAGCGCCACCTACAGGCAGTTCTAGGTGTTGTGTTTTTGGTTTCGTACTAGTCCCTGGTTTTTCATCGCACAGACTTCAATCATGCCATTTCTCCATCAGGACGGATTGAAATTGTGCAATCATTTCAAAAAAGTTAGAAATTCATCACCGTTTTCCTGACAGTAAGCTTTTAATTTCATATGCTCATTTTATACTCAGAGCTGCAATCCCCGGCCTGACCACCATTGGCGCACCTCTTGCCTTAATAGAAAGTATACTGAAACAGGCTGTTGTTTCTTCCCAATGATAGTGTGTGTAGGGTAATAATATTACAGTAAGCTATAAATTGTAAGAGAAGAATAGTGCGGCTAGTCTCCAAGTCAGATGCTGGCCGTCCTGTTCGAGTGGGGGGATCTGCTTTAATTTTTAGGGCACCAGCAGTTACTTCTGCACAGATCCAAACCAACTTTGCCTCGAGTCAGTCTTATAATCAAAAGGTAGTGAATGCATAAATCAGCCAGGGATTTACCGAAATCTAACAACACGACTCTGATAGGATTGAGTTAAAGAAAAGGGGTTTTATTGATTACAAAAATGAAGGTAAAAATATAACGAAGGGGATTTCTGGTCACATTAAAGCAGAAGTGGTATACATTTCATTCAAATCACACATTTAACAAAGAACAGTCTTACTTTGTAGGAGCGTAGAGGATGGAGAAAGGATTTGGGTTGGGGAATCAGCCCACGTGGTTTCTTTGTCTGGGCAGGCGGGAGGTACGAAGCCAGCGAGTCTGGTCCAGCTGCTGATCCACGCGTATACAGCCCAGTCCGGAATGGGTTGCGTGCGTAGAGTCCAGAGCCAGGGAAAGAGGCTGGTGATGGAACAGTTCATAAGGTCCCGAGCCAGAGGAGAGGGTTGTGTTGCGGAGTAGAAGGCCCGATGCGTGCAGGCGCGGCCGTAGTAGGAGACACGTGCCGCGGGACGCAGATGGGCAGGGAGGCTGAAATAGTGATTTCAGGAGAAGACAAGAGGGTGAGGCGCTGTATTGCGGGTGCTTATATTGACTTCCCAGGGGAGGCGTGTCCATGCCGTCCTCCCCTCTGTGGACAAACCCCTTCACAACAGACATTTTGCAAAGGAAACACACAGGATTGATGCAAATGATCATAACACATGTACAAACACACACCGCATTTCATTACTTGACATTGATACACACATGTGGGGCACAATGCAGATTATTGGAGTACTGGACCCAGGGGTGCTGGTTCGCAATTGTCCGTCCCGGGTGTGATAGTGTCCATTGTTCACTAGGGGGCGCCAGAACGCCGCGGGTGAGTCTTTGATTGTCCGGGGACAGGGGTCCCGGGAGTGAGAGCAGGGTTGTGATCTTTGATCTCTACAGGCAGGCAGAGACAGAGGTGCTTATCCCCGTGGTGACTTTATTGCTCTGTTTGACATCTGTAATCCCCATGATCAATGGTAGTCCTCCGGCCGACCTCGCTGTTCCTTTGAAGCCGCAGTGGGATGTCTCCCTCCTTTTGGTCGAATGTGTACACAGTCCAGGGCCTGGCTCTGCTTTCCGGCCCTGTCCCTTATTTAACCTTACATGTGTGTAGTGGTTAAAGCTTTGCACTGGGACTCAGGCAACTGGGGATCGATCCCCAGGTTTAGACTCTTGTGTTAGGGTTAGTTTGTTGAAGATTGTTTTTATGCTCAATTTACATTATTACTGTTTCATAACTGTAATAAGCAAATTATTGGGAAAATACACACTCAATATGCATTCTAGAGCGCCACCTTTGGGAGGCTTTGAACCTAAAAATAAACTGCATAAGAAAGTCACTGGGTCAAATCTTTACATCCATACAAGCAAAAATGTTACACTACGCAGAGGGTGCATGTCCCACAGATGACCACTAGGGGTGAACTATTGCGTGCTCTCTTTGCCACAGTCTCAGACCTACAGAGCTGAAACTCACATCACAAACATGTGGTAATGACCTGAGCGTAATGGTGTGAAAAAACACACCTTTTATGACTCTAGAGCGCCACCTATGGGGCGCTCCTGACCTAAACTTTCCCAATCCTCACCAAAGTTGCACAGTCGAATCTTTATATCCGTGCCAGCAAAATTCTACATTACACAGAAGGTGAATGTACCAGAGATGACCACTAAGGGCGCACTGAACCCTATTAATGATCTTTTCCGAGCATAATTCTGGTCCCATCTGGCTACCATTTTGTCGGCGAGTGCTTGTGGGACTGGCGCCCGGGAGGCGGCCGCGAGAGTGGCGAGGCCTTTCATCGCGGCTTTAATTATCATTGTTTTTTTCCTTTTCTACAAATATACACAACTTGATTATTTCCTATGCAAATCTGTATATAAATATGTATTTATGTGTTGTTAGTTACTTTGTATATATTTTTATATATTTTAATTGATTTCTTATTGAGATTTCATGTTGTTGTGTGTGTGTGTAAGAGGATTTATATATAAAAATGTGTAAGAGCCTGTATGCTTTTTGAAGAGACCCCGGGAAGAAAAAATAGCCATTTAATATCAATGGCTAATGGGGCCATTAGCCATTGATGGCCCCAACTAAACAAAACTGTTATTGTATAGACTAGAGATGCAACACATGCACACCAAAATCACAGGAAGCGTTTATACTATTACACAACTTCTAGCTAACCATTTAAACATAGACTATTGTTAAAAAAAAAAAGACGGACCAGAAGTCAAAAACAGCACAGAGGCTCAATGGCCCCGCCCATGGTTCCCGCCAGAAAACTTGTCAATAATCTTTCAGTTCAGCAGTTCAAATATCTGTCCTTTGGTTCAATTTGCAATTAATCTTTAAACTCAATAATAAATAAGGAGAAAAAGCACATTCCATACAAGACTGCTACAAAGACAGTTTATGAAGAGATAAGGATAAAGTCTGATTGAGGCAGAGTAAGTTATAACTATGATTGGATACATATTTCCTTTTGAGGGTTATGGTTTCAGCTTGATTAGGTTCATTTAACATGCTGTCTGAATCAACAGATATTGTCTTATCTCTTTAAACTTGTTTAAAGTGTTTATATGAGAGTTTATAAGAGATATGTATGTTTCAGGCTGCACACTGAACCGCCAGGACGTCCGTCTCACTCTTCACTTTGAGAACGGCTTCACTGTGACACGTGAGCCAGACAAGGCATCAGGGGGCGCTGTGCTCTACAGATATCCTTACGAAAAGCTCAAGATGTCTGCTGATGACGGAGTAAGGAACCTCTGCCTGGACTTTGGAGGTCCTGAAGGAGAAATGGTGAGATGCTCCTTCGGTTCTCCTTTTTTGACCATTGTTCCTCCTCAAAAACAGTTTTAGCTGTGCACATAGACACACACGGGGCTCACTCACACACACACACACGGACACACCTCTTCTCGGCAGAGGAGGCTCGCATCATGCGGCTGCTGATGCTCTCCTTGTGTGGTCTATGGAGTGTATTGGCCAGTACGGGCCAGAGAGCTGATGTAGAGCAACAAAAATCACATTATGTGGTTTGTCCTCATGGTCTCTGTGGGCTGCTGGGTCAGACGCAAGATATGAAAGAAAAAAACAATGTCCAGAATCACTGTCAAAAGTCACGTTTCCACCGCATGAACTTCGGGGGAAATTTCCTGGTGTGTCTCCACTGCAGGAACCTCCCCACAGGGACCTTTTACAGGAACTTTTATGGGAACCAACCGAGTACCACCTCCATGCTAGGTACTTTGTTCGGCCCTCAGCAGCTCCTGGTGGGGCTAGAGGTTCACCCGGCGCTGATTGGCTAAAGCTAGAGCAGGCTCTGACCCGTAACCAAAATTATTGGTAACGCTCATGATGTCCGGGGTCCTACTGCAGTGTAGATACTTTTAGGGCCAAGTGAGAGGACGGTTTGGGTAGCTGTCCCACCCCTCTGATTTTACCAGGAACTGCTGCGGTGGAATAGGGCTGCAACGATTAATCAACATTGTCGATAAAAATCGATAATTGAAATAGTCGACAATAAATTCCATTGTCGACTATTGTCGCCAGACGTGTTTTTCCAATAGAGTGAGGCATCCCCCGTCTCACAAACAATCTCTGCCGAGAGTTGCACATGCGCAAGAGCGTCTATCGAGTGGAAACGTAAACAGTAATGGCAGCGTCTGTCAGCTCCATGGATTAATTATAACAATCAGCACCGCGTTGAAAAACTTCTAAAGTTTGGGAGCATTGTAGTCTGGATACGGCAAATAAAAAGTTAACTTTCAAGGTTTTCAAAGCAGACATTGCGTATCACGGCAGCACCTCGGTGATGCACGAACATTTGAAGAGAAAGCAAGAGAGAGACCAAGATCCCGGAGCGTGGCCGCATTGTAGTGAATAAAAGCGGTTCTGTGAAGCTGCTTTGAAAACAGCGCGGCGAGCGCACGGCCAAAGCGAAGCCATTATGTGACCAGCACGGACAGGACAAGTGCGGATCTTTGAACAACCTGTGGACGCGATAAATACAGCGCTGTGAGAAATACAGATGAACTCAGTGAGCCTCTAGAAGTGTCCCCCGTGTGTCCTCCTGTAGCCCAGAAACTAAAACTCACTACATTAAAGCTGGGGTACCTACATTTCCCTTGCATTCATAATGCATTTTGGTAGTGCCCAAACGTAAAATAAATAACTATTACAAAAAAAACCCCCCACAAATAGTCTTGTTTTTTTTTTTTTACATAATTAACTTATTGACCGCCATTGACGTGTTAACACGCCAAACCAAATAGTAACGTTGTCTGCCATTGACGTGTCCCGCTATTTTCACGTTCCCAGATGTCTATTGTATCTAATATGTATGGGGATTAGAGTTTCGTTCGGGCCTGAAAAATGAAGCCCGACCCGGCCCGAGCCCGCTAATGTTAAGCCCGAGCCCGTATAAGCCCGACCAATGAATGCTGTATAACAGGCCCGAGCCCGACAGAACCCGACACATCTGATTTCCCGTTGTATGCACTCACCTTCCAATTGCAAGTTTAGTCTCCACTTTTGAATTTGTTTTGTCTCCACTTGATCCATTTCTACTATTTTTCCTGTTCGCTGTTGACCACAGCATGCAGCAGGAGACACGGGGTGATGCGTTCACGGCTCGCTGCTGCTGTAGGACACGCTGGTTACGGTGTCATTAATATATTAACTTTTTTTAATAACTTGTCAATCAACGGAAATTGTTATTAATATATATATATATATATATATATATATATATATATATATATATATATATAATATATGCATATCATTATGTATAAAAATCATTTAAAAATAATTATAATAATAATAAAAAAGAAACATATATTTAAAAAAAGAAGCCCGAGCCCGGCACGAACCCGACCGCTGAGAGCCAAATGAGGCCCGAGCCCGGCCCGAACTCAGGTCGGGCCTCGGGCCTGCTCGGGCTGCATTGCTTGAGGCGATTTTTTATCGAGCCAGCAGATGGCAGCATTTCTCTCTGAATGGTTTGTTTTCTCAGCTTTCTGGTGATTTCAGTAAAACTTCCCTCTATTCGACTGGGGATTACAGGGGAACGAAACAAGCTAGAAACAAAATTCTTTTTGCTGATGAAAGTAGACAGTCCATTCTTTCAGACTATCGTTGGATTTCAGATAGTCATAGTTACACAATATTCTGTGGGTCTTGAAAAATCTGTAAAAATCATCAGAAACGGCTGGCAATATGGGAGTACCTGTTCTGAAATGGGCTGGCAGTCAATTAGTTAAGAGAGAACCGTGTTAGTCAATATTTTACTTCTTGGGCTGAGAGCGGATTTTTTTTAGCTCAAAAGATGTAAGGAGGAGGGGGGCGCGAAATGTTTTTCTCTACCTAAGGGGGGCCTGGCAAACAATAATTGAGAAGCAATGGTCTATATTGACCAAGCACTGTGGCAAATTGGTCTTAGATAATACATTTTTATTTACTTTTTGTATGAACCAGCAGCAAAGTAAAATAAAAGATGCATTTTTCATTGAAGTACCCATCTTTATTGTGTTTGTTATCATTTGCCACATAATTAAAGCAACTTCAGGCTAAATATTAAAAAAAATAGTAATTATCCGATTAGTCGAGTCATCGTTTCAATTAGGGGTGGGAACCTAAGGGTACCTCACGATACGATACACGATACAAAGCTCACGATAACGATATTATCACGATACTGATATTACGATAACAATTTTATCACGATATGATTATCGATATGTTGGTCAGAAACATACAATATGCTAATGTAAATAAAATAAAAAATACACTTCATTTCATGATAAATGGAATGGAGATGCGTAATGTAGCCATATATTAACTCACTGACTGCCAGGCATTTTCAGATTTGAGAAGTGCGTTCTGCCAACAATTTCAGGTGATTTGACCCAACCCAAGTGCCACAGAATATTCATTTTTTAGACGATGTAAACACCAAGGGCACCAAATTAAAGATTAACCTCTCTGCTTTACTCTGAAAAAAACAGTTTGTTTCTACCTCTTACCGTTCTTGAGCTATTTGCCATAGAACAAAGCATACTTTCACCCATAACACCTGGTCTGAGCAAGAAAACAGAGAAAACGAGCTGTATGTAAACAGGAACATATCAAGCAGAAAAGTGACTTTTAGATGCATTTTTGCTGCTTTAGTGACAACTCAAAACATCATCACACTTGTTCCATTACAAAAATTATAAAAAACATGACTCTGAAATAATACTTTTGATGGCAAATTGTTGGCAATTTATTCACAGATAGAAAATTTAACTTTCTTCTATACCATCAACCAAAACGTCAAACAACAACAACACAAAGATCAATAAAACTATAGATGTATAAAATAGAATGAAGTGTGTGAATTTGAGTGTGTGTGTGTGAATGTCTGTGTGCGAGTGAGTGTCTGTGTGAGTGAGTGTCTGTGTGTGTGAATGTCAGTGTGCGAGTGAGTGTCTGTGTGCGTGAGTGAGTGCGTGTGTGTGTGTGTGCGCGAGAGTGAGTGAGTGAGTGCGTGTGAGTGTTCGTGAGTGTGTGTATGAGTGAGTTTATCTGCTTTTTCAGTCCTCCCAGTAGTTCAGCTTTGAGTTTTGAAACACTGAGGTTGAAACACTGTGTGCAACGGAACACGACACGCTGTGTACCATTTGTAGTTCTCCCTCCGTGAAGAAGAGCTCCAGAAAGTCTGGATCAGATGAATCCAGCTCCAGAAAGTCAGCTGGATCAGATGAATCGCAGCCTCTGTCTGCAGTCTCTGAGGTCCAGGAGCTCCTGTGAAGGGCAACTGACTCGGCTCCCACTCATCCTCCTGCCAGCCATCTTCCCCAGAGCTTCTGGGTGACGAACGTGCTGGAAATTGGATACACACAATAACTATATTATACAGTGAATTTGTTACAATAAATCTATACATAAAATACAATGAAGGCCTTCCTCCCACATTATTGACTGACTACTTTTGGACCAAACACAGTATACTATATTATTATTATATTATATTGCCATGGGATGTACAAGAATAGAAATAGTAGTTCTTTTACCTTTTTTGTGCACAGCAACTGCCTCTTGATGCACCACCTGTAAATAATATAAATTTGTAAATCACTATACCAGGAGAATATATAAAAAAATAATATGTACAATGGTATGAGGAGGAATCATCTTTACCTCCTTGCCCTGTCAACTCCAATGGGGGAGGGCTCTTTTATCAAAATCTGTGAATGGAGAACACATTTAATTTAGTCAGAGCTATGACACTACAACAAGATGTTCAAGTATGAAATAACTAAACATAAAAATAATAAATACAACAATGATAAAACGCATAACTGGCATTTACTAAAGAAACAGTAGGATTTGAGCGCTGTGTTACTTAGCAGATCAGAGCAAGTTTCCGCGCCTTTCCCTCCTCTCAAGTTAGCATATTCTAGGCAATTTAGTAAGTTCTTACCTTCGACTCTTTGTGGAGCTTCTGGAGAGGATGCTCTGCTGGATTGAGACTGCAACCACTCATCCGATAAATCATGATCAGGTTCGCTGAACGAATCCGAGGCATCAGTAACAGCAGCAGCTGATACGCTGCGAGAGGTGGAAGGTGTGTCCCTGCTCCGGGCTCTTGCTCCGCGCAAATGTGGCTGCAGAGACGGACCTCCACCGGGGTCTCCACTCTCTCCCCTCTCGACCTCACTCACTGATCCGCGAGTCAATCTCTGAAGCAGTGTACACTGCTTATAACTATTCTTTTTCGCCATCAATCTTGCTATACTATCGCTAAACTAGATCGCTGATCCGTCTCAATGCTAAGCTATCATCGCTCGCTCTGCTACAGCAGCACGCTCTCCAAA